TTNTTCTGCAAATTTTTATACCATGTGAGGTTTTTTTCGAGCAAATTTAATTGTGTCAGCTTGCTTGCCCCACATCACATTGTCTCTCGGCGTGGGATCAAGATATTATTATTGTTCATTGGCCCAGCCAGTAGTAAAATAGAAAACGTGAACAATACAGTCGACTTTTAACTTCGCTACAAAAATTTTACTATATAGATAGATGTATGGTTTTAAGTATTTGCGTCGATGGTGACGTAACACATGTTTTACAGTCCATGATATTGACGATCACGTAAACATAAATCAACACTCACTTCAATTTCAATTTGATTTCATCCAGAATTGCCGTATCAAGGAGATGGTGTTTCAAGTTAACAAACAATGTCAATCTTGAAGATAAGTTACTCTGTAGTCTTTATCATTTTGTGGACAATATGAATTAATGATAGCTTCACATAAATTAATTATTATATACGCCATGTCAATACAAGCCAATGGCTTGGACTAACGGTATACCAATCCAAACCAAAATACAAAGTCACAAATTTTCTAGACGTTTGAATTTTTTCAATAACTGATTGAAAAATTTTAACATTCATTTTAAAGGTATATTATAATATAATCACATTTTTATTTTATTATATAATATACCGATATTAATTAAAACGTAAGTTTATCCGAAATTATTTAATCATGTTTTGTAACATCATCTAACGCCGTTATAATGCAGAGACAAAACGTATTTCGGTCATTGAAATTGGAGCTGCCCTGAATTTATATTTTACCACGTCCCGATTACGTCTCACCAAATTTTGACCCCATTTTTTGTAATACGCAAATTAATTCATTCACTCTGGTTGTAACCACAGTGCTTACACACCTTCCATCAGTCAGATAGCCCAATTGGATACAAATCCATTATTTAAAAAGTTGTGGAAACCCTAATTGCAATAGTAAAAAAAATACTTAATTTAAATGGAAATAATATAAGTAAAGGCTTTGAAATACTGGAAATCAATTGAAATACTAACATAAATAATCAAACAGATGAAAGAAGTCATCCATGTCTGTTGCCATCTAACATTTTTTAATTAAAGTAGGGACCCGGCTACATTAACTATTATAATTATTGAATGTTTTAGCACTATCAAATATTTTGACAATATTGAAACATTCAAGAAGTCAAAACCATCCCACTCTGCTGGCAGATCTTTGATTCCACACTGATTCTAACAGCACCAAACTTCTAGAATTACTCACATGGCCAATCTGAAGATTTCCTGATTTCATTGAAATCGGTTTAGCCATTTCAGAATCTATGGGATCATACATATAATATGTATATTCACATATTGACTTTTACAAAGTTTACAAAGCTCTGAAAACTCATTGTGAATAAGGGTGTGGCTTTTTTTATTTTATTCCATAGACTGGTGAAGTGACTCACTAAATGTAAAGAGTTTTCCAGAGCCGATAGAAATCACAATGTGAATGCAGACACTCAACTTGAGACACGATATCAAAGTCTAAATTGATAGGTACTACAAACCTGAATACATTACTTCTTTTTTACAGAAATAATAAAAGATGGTGCTACCTATGCATGTTAGCCACTGGTAATTGTGCAAATTCATAGGTTTTGATGGTTTGTTATTTATTATACTACTATACTATAATTTATTAACATGTGTCACATATGAATTTTCTGAGAGAAATTGGTATCTTACATGGGGGATTTGAATACCGTCATAATTACATTGCTTGATACAAATGCACCAGCCTTTGTCCACACAACTTTGAACCTGTCAGATCTCTAGTCCTTTTGAAGCAGGAAGGACTTCAGGGTACCAGCAGTATTAATTTATTTTACCAAGCATGTTTATTCTAATCACATCATATTAAGCCAGGTAGGTCACAAAGTTAAAAAGTGTGTAGTGTATAGTTTGTATCTTCCCCATGAATCGGACATTTATTCCATTTTTATCATATTTATACAGATGATTACATACATTAAAACTCACAATTTGACCTCGAGTCTCAAGGTGAGTAGCAGCTTTCACATTGTGATTTATATGGGCATTGGTAACCAATTAACACCCAATGGACAGTGAGCGCTATATCTATATAATGATAAAGCTAAAATGCTAGTTAAAATGTAAGTGTGCATGATCCAACAATACACAAAATTTATTTGAGAGGTGTTTAGGAAGAAGATCAAAGTATCTATATAGTAGTTGATAAAAAATATCCCAAGGATTCAACTATTGTGCAATTAGTCTAGTCCTTCAAGAATAAGATAAGACGAAATTTTAAAATATTATAAAGATACCAAGTACAATACCATATTATTTTGTATACAAAAATAAATAAACCACTTTTTTTTTAAGATACTAAAATATTACTTAATCAAAGCATCTGAGATAATTATTAGCCATTTACAGTTAACAGTTCTAAATGTATATATTATAGAGTAATTGATTTCTTACAACTATATTGTTTCTTCTATATTAATAAATATATAAAAATAGTGTAAATTGGGAGTAGCCTAAGTCAAGCAGTAGACAACTATAGGCTGATGATGATGATATTGATATTATTACACCAGTAACTCTGTAATTTACTGCACTAGTAGTAGTTCAACAAAATGCATTTTAAAAAGAAAGTGTAATGATATTTTTTTTAATTTATTCCCTACTGTCCAAGCCTTATTACTCATGTAAAATTTGAAATAAATAAAACACAATGCATTTTTTCAGAGTAAATGGTTGCTTGTATTATTCTTTGGTCCATAAACTACGGGTCGGTTGTTGTAGGCTGGCTGGACCTTTGCTCACCCACCTGTTCTGGTGAAGCCGGACAGGCCCCGGGTGACCATTAATCCCTCAATCATAAAAAAAACTACCAGTTGATTAGCAGATTCATTGGTATTTAAAATCACAGAAGAGCAAACACAGTTATAATTATCATTTCAGATTTACTTTACATTGCCCTGATCTTGTCATTTACTATGATAAAAAGCATCCTTTGTGTTATTTCAGCTTTCAAAGTATCTTTGTGAAAATCTCAGCTATTTTCGCATGATTAAGTAACAAACATAAAACTTTCACATTTATAATATTTGCATGGGTCAAGAAAATTTCTTGTTAATTTAATCTAAGTAATCCTAAAGAAAAGTTTTTTTACTCTTGTCATTCAATAAATTTTAGATTCAATATACAATTGACTAATTTAGAAATTAACAAATAACCTTGATTATTGTGAGAATTTTGGCTTCATATACTTTAATTTAAATTAGTAGACAAATTAAACAGAATACAGTAACCATTTGATGTATCGTAACATACAGAGTCGAAATATAGTTTTCTGACTTTTTACATTTTATTTTTGTTTCAGTGCCAATATTTTAGGTTTTTCGTCGATATAATTTGAAACTTACCAGATTATTGTAATTGAAGCCTTCCGCTTGACCTTCGAAGTATTCCCCGTTCAATTTCTCCTCCATGATTCAATTCTAACTAATATAATTATTAACAGTCATAGGAACAAGTTTTTTTATTAACATTGTTTAAGTCTTGGTTTAAAATTTAAAATGGGTTTGGTATCATGATTTGTTTAATCGATCCACTTTATCTTTAGCCACATAACAGTTCATAAAAAGCCTCATTATTTTATTTTTATAACACTTCACTTAATTTAAAAACACAAAAATGTGAAATCGATTCAGAAAATTCAATGTTCACAACGTAGATTTTACTTTTAAGTTTACCTTGACACATAAAACTGTCAAAGACGCCATGTTTACAATGTTAAAAAATCAAAGAGGTTTTACATCAGTTGTCTAATTGTACAAAGAAAAGGGACAAAGACAATACAGCCAATTCTTATTTTATCACATTGTTTCATGGACAATTAGTTTGACATTTTTACAAGCCAATATAACCAGCTTTCCTGATCAAATAGATTTATTTCAGTTTCTCAAAATGATTGTAAACTTGTATTTTAACTGAGACATCACTATTTTGTTGAAATATGAAACTTTAAAGGAGGATGTAATTGGTTTTGTAATTTGCGCCTAGCAGTATCGGCAATATATCTCCTTTTTTAATCCAATTTAATCCATGATTATATTCCAAATTACATTTATTATCTATGGATTATAATTTTTCTTGGCGGGGACGCGAGTAACGGTGTTGTGTGAATTGCTTTATGTGGTTTATTTAGTGTTTCTTCAGGGTTAAATGTGTAATAACGGTGGTTTATTAACTGTTTAGTATCTGTGTAATTGCACAAATGTGGTAAAATGAACCGACTGAAAAACTCGCCGAAGCTTCTCGGGCTCTTTAAAAAGTTTACTGAAAAAGTCTCGGTAAATAACCATTTCACTGAGATTATATTTCATCCCATATTATCTCATCTCATTTTATTTAATTTCATGCCAATTGATTAATGTTTCAAATTAATCAATTTAATTTCATTTCACTTCGTATTATCATTTTTCATAAAAAATGTATAAAAGATTAGGATATATGGTATGATGGCTTTGCTTTTTCAGTTGGAAAAACAGAACTACTACTACAGTTTTTTAAACTTACAAAATTAAATGTGGATTGTGGACTTTTTGGCGGGAAGGCGAGGAGTGAAGTTGTGTGATTGTTGTTATTTTATTTTGTTTATTTTATATTTCTTTAGGCTTAAATGCGTGATAACGGTGGCTTATTACCTGTTATCTGTGAAAGTGCATAAATGTGGGAAAATAAAACAAAGCCGTTGGAAGTAACTTCTCGGGATGTTCCAAAAAGTCCACTGAAAAAGTTTCAGTAAAGGACCACCATTTTACTCAGATAATAATATTTCATCCCATATCATGTCATAATTTTTTATATAAAAACTGGGCTTGGAAAACTGGAAAGCAAAGCCATAAACGTAATACAAAAGACTAGGCTGTATGGTAAGACACCTTTGCATTTCCAGTTGGAAAAATAAAACTACTACGCTGACTACTTCATACTTCATCATATCATATTTTTATTATTTATCAGGGCACGAAAGTACCGTATGTAATTAAGTAAAAATCTTCAAATATGCAGAATGTTCTTGATTCAGATAGTGAAGACGAATTACCGCCTGGCTGGGAAGAAAAGTCTACAGAAGATGGAAATGTTTACTTTGTAAAGTAGGTTTTATGTTTATATTGGGTTTAAAATTGTCGTTAATTACTATAAAATGTAAACTAGCACGTAATTTTTTTCTGATAGTTCTTATACAAAAAAGACCCAGTGGACCCATCCTCACACGGGCTGCAAGAAGGTTATTCCAAAAGATTTACCGTTTGGCTGGTCTAAAACAGTGGATGAAACCAGCAAAACAATCTATGTCAATAGAGAAACTGGTAATAAGACGTATGTAGACCCAAGACTTGCTTTTGCAAAAGAAGAGAAGAAGCATGTGCACGACTTTAGACAGAGGTTCGATGGGTCATCTACAGCATACCAGGTAATGTACCAANGCTGCAAGAAGGTTATTCCAAAAGATTTACCGTTTGGCTGGTCTAAAACAGTGGATGAAACCAGCAAAACAATCTATGTCAATAGAGAAACTGGTAATAAGACGTATGTAGACCCAAGACTTGCTTTTGCAAAAGAAGAGAAGAAGCATGTGCACGACTTTAGACAGAGGTTCGATGGGTCATCTACAGCATACCAGGTAATGTACCAAAAATTTTAATCTAATAACAATAATTTTCGAAAAAAAATTTTCATCCTCTTATAGTCGTGACCCTCATGTCATCTTTGTAGGTTCTCCATGGTGTTGATTTGTCTGGTAAGTATGCCTTGATAACTGGTTCTAATACAGGTATAGGCTATGAAACTGCTAAATCATTAGCCAGGCATGGATGTAATATATTATTTGCAAATCGTAATATGGAAGCTACAGATAAAGCTATTAAGGAGATTGTGAAAGAAACAAATGCATCAGAAGAAAATTTAAAATCTATATATTTGGACTTAGCTTCATTAGAGAGTGTCAAGCAATGTGCTCAAGCGGTCGAAACAGTTTTCTCTGAGTAAGTAAAAAATATAAATAAATTTGTTTTCTAACTTTCTGCCTTAACTATTGAAGACTAACTGACCTGGCAGACTTCGTATTGCTTCGATCGATAAATAAAAGACCTAAGCTTTTGTATAAAATAAACATAAAACAAACAAAAGGAATCCGTCCAACGGGGGACACATCAAAGGAAAAACAGAATTGTTATTGTTATTAAATACTGAGCATTTTCATATTTATCTACCATTTAAACCTTCTCTGGACTTCCACAAATAATTCAAGACCAAAATTAGCCGAATTGGTCAAGCCTTTCTCGAGTTTTAGCGAGACTAACGAACATTAATTCATTTTTATATATATGTATATAGATTATAAGAAATAAAAAATGTAAGGTTGGATACACTTTTACGCAAATAATTTGTGGAATAATCACAGAAAGTGGTTGATTCACAAAATGCTCGAAATTCAACCATAATCACTATGATTTAGATTCATTTTATGTATTTACATATTATGTTTTTTTTATTGTAACATAATTACCAATGGCTTCGATTGTAGAACTAATAATTTTTCAACAATCTTTTTCACAATTTACAGCCATTTAGACATGTTAATACTGAATGCGGGTGTATTTGGCCTGCCATACACAGAGACTCAAGATAAACTAGAGACTACTTTTCAAGTTAATCACCTAAGCCACATGTATTTTGCACTGCTACTTGAGCGACTGTTGAAACGAGGTTCCAGAGTAGTATTTGTGTCATCAGAATCACATAGGTAAATTTAAGAAATGAATCTTGACAAAATAATTGTTCAACATTTAAGTTATGTATGTTTAATATTGGTGTATTGCATCTAATTTGAAAAAATAATATTGTGGTTATGAAGTCTGCATCATATTATATTGACTGCAATTTGATGTACAAAAGGTATCATTTCAGAAAGAAAATATACATAGGTTGTTACCATGTTTTTATGCTTGATGAAGGAACAAATACCAACTTCTAGCAAAAGTATTATGTCTGTTTTCGAACTGTTACAGTTCCATATTAGTTGCATAGGACTTTAATTTACTTTAAATTTTCAACATTACAAGTCCAAATCAATTTTTTTATCGTAAAACCCATATTATGAAAAATTCAGTTTGAAAATTGAAACAAAAATGGATTATTGTCTTTCATTATATTGAGATTTTTAAGTTTTATTTTTTATTAATATAATTATTTTCAGGTTTGCCAATTTAACAAATATTTTTACTAATCAAAATCTTGCAATGACAAAAGATCAATACTCTGCTATGATGGCATATAATAATTCCAAATTATACAATGTCATAACAGCAAAGGTAAATTTTATTATGATTATAAATAATAATACTCAACTAATTTACGGACAAATTTTTATATTTACATTTAATTTAAGCTTCATACATTTTCAGTTTTAAGTAACAATAGCAGCTTTTACCTAACACTAAATAACAATTTGCAACCTTTTAAGCCAAAGTAAACCTACAAATGATTAATCAAATAAATATTTTTAATAAGTTCAAGAAAACCATTTACCACATGGGTTCAGTTATTATCTAGTTTTAGCTGTGCATTAGTATAGTAGCTTAAATTGCTTCAGGAGTTTAAAATGTGTAGACTACCAGTGATTAAGCAAACATAAATTACTTCATTCAAACTGTAGTGTTTATTGACTCAGATTACCATTTTATACTAACTGTAGAATTAAACAAATAGATATGTATGTACAATAATAAAAGCCCAGTTATCGTTCTTGTCGAACCCGTCGCTTGCGATGAAGGGCTCGACGAGTAAATTAACCCTCAGACACAGCCCACTGAGTTTCTCGCCGGATCTTCTCAGTGGGTCGCGTTTCCGATCTGGTGGTAGATTCTGCAAAGCACGGCTCTTGCTAGGGTTCGTGTTAGCAACGTCATCAGGTTTGAGCCCCGTGAGCTCACCTACTAGTTATAGTCAAACCTTAACAGGCGACGCTGATATAGCCTCTCAAGCAAGGGCGGATCCAGCTTTGGCGCCAGGAGGGGGTCACATAGTCAAATTTAGATACGTTCGTTCCCAAACGTTTGCCATTATACAAAGTTATTATATTATATTATATTAAATTAATTAAATATTGAAGGTATGTAGTTACATAAAATCTGTATGGTGACAAAATATATAAATAAAATCATTATATTCAATTAGTGGTCCACCTAAGTCCTGGAACCAGCTCAGGGGGTGGTCATGACCCCCATGACCCCCCCCCTGGATCCGCCATTGCTCTCAAGGCTAACAGCTTAGGTAGGAAAAAAATAATAATAATAAAAGATACCATGAAATTCATACACTGAAATTTTCTAATATAAAAATTTTATAAATTTTCAGATGTTAAGCGAAAAATGGAAGGCAAAAGGTATATGCGTGAATTCTCTGCATCCAGGTAATATGGTATCTACAAACTTGAGCAAATCGTGGTGGCTGTATAGATTGGCATTCTTTTTAGTAAGGCCCTTCACTAAATCTTTGGTGAGTAATTTATTTATCTTTTCTCTTTCAATGGCACTCGAGGAAAGGGAATGTAGACATTGCTATGGGCACAACAAAACCTATAGATATTCAAGCCACTATTCCGCTTGAGATACATGTCTCAACCTCAAGGTAGAAGTTTGGGTACTGATAGAATAATCACTGCACTATACTGCAAATCAGAACACTTGAAAGATTCTTGGTTGTCATACTAAAAAAAATTACACTTACCATGACCAATTGTAAAATAGTAGTGCCAGTACAGGCATTCATACATATAGAACTGATATATTTATTTTTAAATAAGTTAAGGAGATGCATATTGAGTATGTAAAACAATGCACATATTATTTGGTTTTGGAACGTTGAGACGTACACTCGTTGGTACTTCAGGGAACATTTATGCCAGGGTACTGTAGGGCAGGGATGGCCAACTTGATTAGAACCAAGATCAACTGTTTACTGATGAAACACTACGGTCAGCCATGACATTTCTTGAAATTTAATGAAACAATGTAATTCAGTATACAAATAAGTAGTATATTTTTTATTTATTAAAAAGATTAAGATAGAGCTGAGATAATATAATAAAAGAGAACTATTGTGTGGAAGAGAGGATAAATAATGTGACGTAATGGTCATTTACAAATGATACAAGATGAAGATGATGTGTGCAGCATTTATATTTTTTGTCTTGTCACGACTCAAGTAATAGCCATGATCGACCGGTCGATCGCGATCTACCGTTTGGCCACCTCTGCTGTAGGGGGGAATGATACCCCGCCCCTTTTTTCCCCTACCTATGCTGATAGCCTTGAGAGGCTATTTCAGCTTCTTAACGTGTAGGTGAGCTGACGGGGCTCAAACCGGAGTGTTGCTAACACTAGCCCGGATCGGAAACGTGACCCACTGAGAAGATCCGGCAAAAAACTCAATGGGCTGTGTCTATGGGTTAACCCCGCCCCGCTAAGCTTTCTAGGCAGTTATAGTAATAACCCTTATACGTTAGTTAGTGGTTAACGTGTAGCGATCCACCGCGGTCGCTGACGCGAATAAACATATGTTTTATTGACCACTCCGCTGTGGTTTCCCGAGGACAATTCACACAACAATAAATAACCTCACTACAAATCTTACAGTACCATATATGTATTTAAAAGCATTTTTTTATTGCTTAGAAGGGTAGACGAGTTCTCAGCCCACCTGGTGTTAAGTGGTTACTGGAGCCCATAGACATCCACAACGTAAATGTGCCACCCACCTTGAGATATAAGTTCTAAGGTCTCAAGTATAGTTACAACGGCTGCCCCACCCTTCAAACCGAAACGCATTACTGCTTCACGGCAGAAATAGGCAGGGTGGTGGTACCTATCCGCGCGGACTCACAAGAGGTCCTAGCACCAGTAAGAAGAGTTCACGCAGGATGGGGGGGGGGGCACAATACGCCCTGCCGTAAACAATTATAATATTTGTCTAGCAACAAGCAGCAGCGACGACTGTCTACGCAGCGACCGCCTCAGAGCTCGAAGGCGTCACCGGATTGTACTTCAACAACTGTTTCTATTGCGAAGAGTCTGCGCTGGCAAGGGACAAAGAAATAGCACAAGCCGTCTACGACATGTCGCTTAGGCTGATCGAAGATATCTCGAAGACATGATCGCGGATAATTTGTGAAATATTGTCGTACGTTATAAATAAAGTAAAATCGGGCATAGTTGTGATACGATGACTGTACGGAATTGTTTTTATAAGGCGAAAAGGATTGACGTCACTTCACATCGTACATTGATGTATCGTAAACTCAAATGAGAAAAAGGGGTAATAAATGTAAAAATATGTTTTTATTTTTTATTTACTTAGATCCCCCGTGCAAACTCAGCAAAAAAAGGTATGTACAGCTATAAATACGGCCGTCAAATAATTAAAGCAAACTCCGTAAAATGAAGTGTATGTAATACGCGTGTATCAAAATTAAGTGCTTTTTCATAATCTTGTTATTTTTGAGGTTTTCGGTTTATGTTCCTCTCTTGATTTTGGCAACAAGAGTGTAAGACCGCCGCATACTATAATGAGAAAAAAATATATGTTAAAAAGGTCAAAGATTGTTCCAATTGGTGCATAATATGGACTTGTAATTGTCTAATTTTTTCTCTCGACTAAATGACTATAACGGTAAAGTAAAGAAATTTAATAGTAATTCCCAAGTTTTAATTGAAAAATTTAGCACTATTTTTGTGTACGATGTGCTTATTAAAACCCATTCTTTCTTTCTTTTCCACCATCGTTCCGGATCGTGACTCTGCTGTAGTTTTCTCACTGTAGCCCCCCCCCCCCCCTGTTCCTAACTCTTTTCCTGGTAGAGAGCTTCGTTAATCTCCGCTGAGAGTAACCTGGTCAGACCACCGCTTTGAGTTTCGGCCTCTGGACGTTTTGTCGGTAAAGATAAGCCTTTCATTAACAATGTTAAGTCTCGCAAAATTTTTTTGGAACGCTGTCTAGGGAATTCTCATCACTCAGAGTCAACACATTTCAAAAGGGTCTATTCGATACTTGCTAGTGGTTCTCAGGTTTCAGACATCTAAGCCATAAAGCAAGACAGGAAAAATTAGCGTTCAAACTTCGTGTACGACTTTTTGTGTTGCCGTTTTTCACACCATATTCTACTGGGTCATGGCTCTTAGAACCCATAGACACTGTTATCGTCACCCGAACACTGTCTATTAGATGGTGGGGCTTATTATATACGCACAAGTAGGTTCCACGATTCTACCAAACTCATGTGCCGGTTTGACGGCTTAGATTGCCTTTATACGAAATAAATGAGCATTTATATTGTATTTTCGGGCTCGAGAAATGAGCAAATTTCTCACCTAAGAGTAATCCGCCGAATAGATAAAAAGTTGCTTCGCAGGCGGCACGCAGTAATATTCCGGCCACGTTGGTTCCTACGACAGAGCCTGTTCGTCCCAACATCATTGATAAACTTACTGCCATTCCTCTGCAAAGATTACAAACTACGTAAACATTTTAATGTTGAAAATTATTGAATTTTGTGGATACACCACGTGTTAGGACTGAGAACAAAGCTTTTTCTTCCTTAAATAGAAACTATATTTCCAGAAAGAGATTTCTCGTAAGGTAGGTCCATCATCTCGTTTTTACCATCGCACCGCCCACCACCGGAGTAGAGTTCATCCATACTACTTGGAGCCACTGCGCTCATCCACAGTGCGTTTCCAGAGGTCTTTTTGCCACGTACCATCCGGCTATGGAATGAGCTCTCCACAGTATTTCTGGAGCGCTATGACACGTCCTTCTTCAAATGAGGCTTGTGGAGAGTATTAAGCGGTAGGCAGCGGCTTGGCTCTGCCCCTGGCATTACTGAAGTCCATGGGCGACGGTAACCACTCACCATCAGGTGGGCCGTATGCTCGTCTGCCTACAAGGATAATAAAATAAAAATGTGTTTTTCAAATAAGTTTCAACAAGTCTCCCTGGTCTTAGGAAGGGGCTCTTTAACAAAAAAAAAAACCGATTTCAAGAAAATAAAATGAGAATAACATCAATGTATACGAAGTCCATTAAATATGAATTTAAATTCTATGCACCAACGATTTATAGGTACATTAAAAGAGAGAGAAAGAAGTTGTATTTATTTGAAGATATCTGATTTCGTGAGTGTTCTATAATAATAAAATTAGCCGATGATTTAAGCCAAAAAAGCATTGATACGAAAGATTGTTTTAATTAATTTTATAACAGTAGCTTAGTAGAAGTTAAGTTCTTAAGATTTTATGACTACGTATTGGATAATGGAATTAGGAAGATATGATAAAAACCCAAATCCATGTACTTCGTCACGTTCGTTCGGAATAATTCTATATTGGTCTTATCATATACTCCAGGTATCTTTTAAGCGATGCGATCAGTTGTCACACTCAGGAAACACGTAAAAATATGATGAGCGTGCTCATCATAGATAAGTCGAAAATAATCGTACAAATAAAAAAAAGTTTGAACATATTGCTTAAAACTTTTCATTATTCGTGTTTGGTTAAATAATAAGTTTCATTTAAAAAAGCTGTCTATAAATACAGCTGATGAATAAAATTAAAACAAATATGTAATTAGCTCATTACGAAGACAGTTCAACCCGCTTAAATTCCAGATTTGACAGATTGCAGTCTATTTTATTTCATGGAGTCAGTGATGTCAGTTCAGTAATGTCAATGTGATATGGCGAATGTGACCGCCCATATTACCATAATACTTGCTTTATGGCAAATTATTGGACTACTACCTAAATTCCAAAAACTTACGTTTGAACATGTGATAAACCTATTTATGAAATATTTCTTCATATTTATAAATATGAGTTATATTTATAAATATTAATGGATTTATTGATAAACTATCAAGTAAATCCTTTTTTTTTTGTATGAATAACATTTTAAAGAATAATAAAATTATCAAAAGGAAAAATCGGGTAAACCTATTTTAAAATATTCATAATTGCTGATAAGTACTATTGATATGCTATGACACTGCAAAATATGTTAAAACATAATATTAGATGCTATGTTTTTATTGTGTCCTGATAAACCAGTTAAATGTTTACGAAACAGATAAGATAAATTTATTTTGGATAATATGTATAATGTGATGTGTAAAATTATGACACTACACAAGATACCCATAAAAGATAGTGAATTAATGAGATCAATCGTGAACCGGCTATATAGCTGACATAAATGGAAATAGAACAAGCTTAGGAAATTATTCACTTTTATTTCCGTAGATGTGCAAACAAGTTCTTGGCTACTAGACATTATGATTGTTTGTTAAAAAAAATATGGTAATAGATAGGTACTCAAATAAACATAATACATATATTTATAACTATATAACAAAATATATTTACTGAAGAGTCGTTAGTATTCGTCCGGTGCATTCGTGTTGAGAGATGCACCGATATTCGAATCCCAGGCGAGTACCAATTTTTCTAATGAAATACGTACTCAACAAATGTTCACGATTGACTTCCACGGTGAATTATAACATCGTGCAATAAAAATCAAACCCGCAAAATTATAATTTGCGTAATTACTGGTGGTAGGACCTCTTAGGTGCGGGTAGGTACCACCACCCGGCCTATATCTGCTGTGAAGCAGTAACACGTTTCGGTTTGAAGGGCGGGGCAGCCGCTGTACTCATAAAAGTGAGACCTTACAACTCATGTCTCAAAGTGAGTGGCGGCATTTACGTTGTAGATGTCTATGGGCTCTAGTAACCACTTAACACCAGGTGGGCTGTGAGCTCGTCCACCAATCTAAGCAATAAAAATAAAATGTTTCAGGTTAAAAGTGACGTAAAACGGTTCACCAGCAAATGGGACGTATAATATTATTATGAAAAATATTCATTAACGCACCTCAATTGTGTCGGAAATATCTCGACAGCGTAGGCGTTCACTGGTCCAATGCCCAACCCCATGATCGGCACAGATGATAACAAAACCGCAAACAGCATGTCTTCGGTGATGTAATTGATCAGTATGCAAAACACGCCAATTAAACAGAATATAATAATTAGCAAGTTCTTCTTTCCGATGAATTTTACAGTACTGCTCACGGCTACGGCGATTATAGCGCAGCTGACGCTGGCTATCGAATTGATTATGTACGTGATTGAGTCAATAGTGTCGATACATACTTCATCTTGGCTTACTGTCTGTAAAATTGAGAGATAATTAAAATTAGTTACTAAAAACTATTTGTAGATATAGTATCCAAAATACAAACAACAATAGTACAGTAGTAGTGTCAACAAAAGAACTTAAACGAGGTGTAGAATGAAAAAAAAATCGATGTTTACGAACCTCATTAAATCTTTGACCGATTACTTGGCATGCGGTTAACCCTGACTGGCTTCCAGTTAATACTCTGTTTAGAAGGTCTGGTACCCACATATACAGTCCATTTAATCTAAAAATAGGGCAACATTATTGAAATACGAAGCAAAAAACAAAATGATAAAATGGTGGAAATTAGGGCTGCTGCGTATTTATCAACTATTTCAATTATGTTGATACACATTTGACCATTTTGTAGTGTATGTTTTTTTTAATTGATTGAACTATACTAATACTATATAGACTATACTAATAGTCAAGTTCTATAGTTTCAGTTACAACTGACGCTCTAACATAGTTGAAAACAATTTTTTTATTCCTCTAGCGGTAATTGAAACTTGGATTTCGTTTTATAAGGTAAGTAAGTAGTTTAATTCGCTTTGTCAACTTGACACCAGGTCGGTCAAGAGTTCGTCTACGCATCTAGTGTAGGTATTAAATAAATAAAATTAATTGTATTGTACAGTGACAGTGGCATCCTTCATAATGGAACGCATGATTCTTTCGCCACAGAAATATGCAGGGTAGCTCCTCTCCCAAGGGAATTGGTGTCCTCCTTTCGAGTACATCTGTAGGTGGCAGATAACAAGAGCCTCTAGGCCCAAAGGTATCGCCCGGTCTCTCTCGTCGTTACCAAGGCCGGGCGGATGCGGGCCAAAACCAGCACGAGGTGGGCTGGGAGGATTGTTCTCTCCACATTTTTGATTTGATGAAGAGTGCTGCTGTAGAGTGATATCTGCACCGTGTCGTCCGGATGGAACTTACGGCGCAATGCCATTACTGCGAAGACCGTTACGACGATGACACCGTAGAGCACACGCTCGCACGCTGCTCCTCCCAGACGACGTCGCCTTCGTCGCGGTCATAGGATGATCTGTCGCTGCTGACCGTCGTGGCTACGATGCTCGACAGCGACGTGTTCTGGCC